CGTTTACGTGATTTCAGTATCCCTGCCAGACTAACCGTGTCAGAACTGCCATTGTAGCGGATGGGATGTCTCACTTTTAGTACTTCAACTTGGCGAGAGGTGGCGTGTTACCTGGCGTGTGCTGGTTAAACCCAAACATTGTTATGTGAGCGTGTTTTAGCACTGTCTGGAGGTGTTTGCATCCACATACTCGTTATGGCGCTATTCTATTCGATCCCAGTTTCAAGTAACTGGGAATCGAATACCACCCTTTTACCATCGTTTTTGGCTTATCCCGCATTTTCACGACGCCCCGCCTACCCAAGACAACTGGTTCGTATGTAGACTGCCTGTGCCTGTCACGAGTGAGCCGCAGGGCCCGAGGTGAGGGTCCATCCGAGCGCCACGCGCACACTCGCATTTGGGTCTCTGTGCGGGTGGTTGTCTCGACGGCTGGGTCCCCAGGTGCACGCTGCTCTGCCCCGCCATTATCCGTTCTCCATCATCTCATAGCCCTGCAATGGTCATAACTGGCCGAAACTGCTCTAATCCAATAAACAAAATAACCAAATCGTGTTCAAAACCTACACCCAACGCATGATGCTGGATGTAGGCCAATGGCTGTCTGTTAATGCCACGAATCGTGCTGACGTACGTCAGGGACAAGTGGTTCGATGGTCATATTTATTTTGACCATGCGCACTACATGACTGTTGAAATGTTAGCATTGGTTTGGCGTTTGTATGGCATCACGCATGTCTGGGTGACCTTCAAATACACTGCGCCAAGTAGTCTGCACAAGTTCGCTTGCGTGAAGCTCAGAAACAAGAGGCTTAGATTCTTAAAAACGGCATGATTAAATTGCATTGATGATCGTCAAATTGGCTATGTCAGTCCAAAACTCCATGTGTGGGGGATTTTGGAAATGTGAAACATCAAAACCCCAAAATGCGGAATACTCAGTTTGGATTGAAGTCGACAGTTCATTCCCATTCAAAATGATTCAAAGCGTTTCAAAACAGAGGGCTCCCCCCCCCCCCCTCTCCGACCGGGTTGACTCACCGGCAACCTTGGCCGTCATGCCGTCCGCCATGCTCTGATTGGTGCTGACTCCGATCCAGGCGAACAGCACCAGCCCGGCGTACAGCCAGAACTGGTAGCATCGCAGATCGGCCGTGTCGCCGCCAGGGGCGCTAGTGTCGCTGCCGTTGACGCCGCCGGCGGCGGTGGCGTTGGCGGCGTGGGGCAGCGGTGGCACGAGCACGACGGAAGTGAGCGCGGCGGCCGTGACCGAGAGCACGGCGAGGAAGACGCGCCGGGCGGCCTGGTGCCGGTCGGCCCAGCTGCAGATGAGGGGCTTGCAAAGCATGTCGAGGAAGGGCGCCGAGGCGAACACCCAGCCGATGGCCACCTGACCGAGCCCCAGCTGACGCCCGAACACGTGCAGAAACGGCGAGGCTGAGCCCAGCGCTGCCGGCGAGGCACCGTGTGCTGGTCAGCGCGCGGGACCAATTGGGCCGAGACGGATCGGGACCGGCAGCCAGCGCGCGGCACACTGGCCAACAGGGCGGAGAGGCGGCGTCGAGACCTGCACCCGGAGGACGTGGCGCAACACGTGCCAGCACAGACCGACCTTATATAGGACGGTCTGTGACGGACGCTTATATGGGGAAGTAAGTGCAGAAGCAATGTGGACAGTACTCAGAGGGACCAGTGCAACACGTAAGAAGACGAAGTTTTTCAGTCGTAGCATGTTGAACACTGAGCACGTGACGTATGATTGGCGCACATACCAGGCGTCACTTTCATGATTAATATCCTGTTTCCCATCATCAACACGTGCCGGTACAAAAACCCTCGAACTCTTCTAGGATGGGCTAAAGACACCCCCTGACGCCCTTTCTTCATATAGCGATTGTATATGTAAAAGGCGCAGCCAAGATTGCCTTAAGTGGAGGGCGGAGTGAGTACCCTTAACACCAATGTTTGATTTTTTGTGATGAAAAACGATAAATTCGGGACTACAGAGAGGGATCCCAGGGCCCCGCCTCGCCTATGCTACTGCTGCACAGGCTCACTAAACACGGACTGACTGACCCACCTCCAAAGTTGAGGAAGTACTGGATCTTGTACGCGATGAGGTTCTTCCTGCACCAGCCCATGCCTGCGGCGGCGGCACCGCTGCTGCCGGCCGTCGGCCCCGCTCGGGTCATGTGACAGACCCTGTGCGCTTGCGTCAGCGGAACACACGTCTCGCCGCGCTGCCGTACTGGCACGGGGCGCCGACCGACGCGGACGCCCAGCTGACGGTCCCCCCCCCCCCCCTCCCCACCGCGGGATAGTGCGCAGGCGCGGGCGCCGGCCGTCGATATAGTGGGGCGGGGGCATGGGGGTGCGTCAAGTGGTACGTCACGAAGAATGAGGTCGGGGTCCCAGAATGGGCATAGCAGCGCTCTGAGATGGTGAGGGGGTGTAGACGGGACGCTTACCGACTGCGTATCACTACTCAGAACTGCGCATCCCTACCATGCCCGGAGCGCTCTTCTGATCATTTACCGCCATCGTATCAACCCCTCGTACAGCATCAGATATGCACGATATGTACACCGTATAGCATCGCCGAGGTGGCCAATAATAGTTTGATTTTCGTGGAAATGCCTACAATTATATGGATTTCCCCAGTTAGCTACACCATCTACATCTGAACACAAATATGTGTATTCAACGACAAGACTTGATTATCCACAGCCGGTTCCTGTCTGTCCCTCACAATGTGAGGAGGGAGTCACGTTTCATCGGTGACTTTGACCCCACTATGAATTTATTCGCCCCCTCCAACTCCCTTTTCAAACACAATTGACTTTATTCCAGAATCGGTTTCGCTCGCTTGCTCTCAGGAAACCGGCCAGAATTTCACGGAAAAGTTCTTATAACGTTCGACAGGATGTTTTGAGGCAGCATGACATTAACTTATTTTTTATACGGAAATTGAATAGCTCCTCATCCCCGATTCATGAAAATTATTTGCGACAAAGGGTTGTTGGAATCAACCCTTGACTATCAAATCGGTGCCCGGCCAATCCCAAGCGGGGGCGGGGTACAGCCAGCGCGACTTTACACATGCTGCTCTCTATCGTCTATCTTACAAACTAGTAGTACAGACGACGCGGCGCTCTAGGTCCATTCTCTCCAACGTAACTGAGCGGAGGATTCGTTCAACAGAAATGGCCACCCACCATCTGCTGTCTGCGTGTGCGGCATTGCTACTTCCAGATGGCAAACTACAAACAGCGAAATGCGAGAAGCGCACTGAGCTGAATGACGGCTGTCAACAGGTAAACGTCTCTACACTTGGAGGGGTCGGTGTGCAAGGCAATGCCTCGCAAATCTGAGCATGGATTTTCTTTCGCTCAGCATCGCACAGGTTTTTGAATTCTGAATATATATATATATATATATATATATATATATATATATATATATATATATGCGATATATATCGCACCAAATGTGTGCGTGTATACACGTGACACCAGTGCCAGGCATCAACCGTGGTATAGCTGAAACACTTTGATATATTATCAAACGGGTCACTTGCAGCATGATTGATGCCTGACATTGGCGTCGCAGTGGGTCAACCACGGACGTAGGAGCGATTGGGGCAAAATTGCAGGAGATCGCATCCATTTGAAATGCCGTTTTAATTCATGCTGTAGGAAGATTGGCGAGATCTGGAGCATTGTCAACGTTATGCTGAGGCGGAGTTTTTTAACATCGCTGCCTTATTTAACTTAAGAACCATGCCCCTCTGTTCCAAAACTCAAGCTCAGGCAAGATCTTGGGCTACATAATATAATATTCGGTAGTGGCGTAAAGGTCATTAAAACTTGTTCAAAATCAAAGGATCGGTGGCTGTTTTGCCAGTCACGTTCAAGTTTTAGGCACTGCGGAGCCCATTGAAAAAAGTTATTGCCGAGTGGTCCACTCTTCAGTCCGCAGTTTCCAACTGAAAATTTAAGTCGTAAGTATCTCCTGGATAATCAGCTATTATCACACAGTTTTGAAAGTGTTGACGTGGTGTAGGCCTTGCAGTAGCGCAGGTGTTAGAGTAACGTGCGCGTACGTACCTGTTACTGGGGCTATACAACGCATTCAGCCGCTCATGCCTTATGGCGCCGCCTGCCCCACCCTGGCAGGAAGGGTGGGCACCGCGAAGATCGAGCCCCGTGTCTCTGGTTTGCCAGACGGCAGCTCAACCACTCCACTATCGGTACCCTGGAGTAGTGTAAGCGCACGGCAGTGCAGAGCGAAGCAGGACAGAACTGGTCCAGGCCGCCCCGGCCCGGCCAGACCTGTCCCACGAAATCCCACCCGATGGGACAGGACGACCCGGTCAGACCTGTCTCACGAAATCCCATCCGATGGGATGGGACGATACGTGATAAAGCTCAGATCTAGTCCTCTTCGGAAGGGAGGCCTTCGGCTCCTGGTTTTTTTTCAGCATTGAGGTTCTTTTGCTTATGTTGAGTTAGCGACATTCAATGTAGCCGGCGTGTACGGGTTAAACGGCGTTAAACCGGTAATAAACGACTATATTGGGTATGCAATATTTCGAATATGCTTGTCACATGATGAGAATAGACGATCGGTGATTTACATGTGGTTTATCGAACACTTTTTTTTAGAAAGGATGAAGGTTGAGCAACTCTATGTAGCTCCACTCTGTTTCTAAACTTGATCTTTATTGTCAAAACCTCATGCAGTCACCTCATTTCTCCCGTTTCCCGTCTCCTCTGTGGCGGAGTATATCATCATCGCAACAGAGTGATTTCTCTCTCGCGTTTTCGGGTTGTTGGATTTCCACTGCGTCCACCTGCACGCTCCACTCACCCGCATTGATCTGTTTCTAACCGTGTGCGGATCCGTTTCTCACGCACGCTCCTACCCGTGCCGCAGGTGAGGCGGCCCGGGGGGACGGCGCCGCCGCCGCGGAGTGTTGGCGCTGGCCGCGTGAGGAGCCGGCCGCCGCCGCGCCGCGCCGCGCCGCCAGTGTACGCCGAGCAGACGGAGTGAGCGCGTGCACGCGGCGAGCAGAGTGGGGGCGACCGCACACCGGGCTGACCTCGCCCAGCCAGCGGCTGTCGACCCGCACCAGGCGCGCAGTTTGATACAGGTGAGCAGAGCGGCGAGCAGCGGGCGGTGTAGCCGTGTCGAAGCGTGTCCGTGTGTCGCTCGAGCCGACAGGTCGCCGGTCGTGACGGCCCGGCACGCTGGCGGCCCATGCCAAGAGTTGGCTCGCGCGGCAGCCGTTCGGCGCGGCGCCGGTGGTTTCGCGTCGCCCGCGCTCCTAGCCACGACGTGGCTCGCCCCGCAAGGCAAGGCGGCCACAAAAATAGACGCCCTGCCGCGTTGCCATGGCTACGGCGCGCTGTTGCGCCTGCGGCAGCCTCCCACCGTCTTGGTTGAGCAGTTGGGCCGGCTAGCGAGTGACGCTGGCGAGAGGCAGCCGTATCCACGGCTGTTCTCGGTGATGCTTCCCCGTTGGATGTCGGGGCGTTCATGCGGCAAGGGCTGGATCACGAACGCGGTCCTCAAGCGCAATGTTGGGTATGCAGAAGCCTGGGAGCCTTGCCCGGTCTGTGCCACCGCTCGTTCCTCTATCCTGACATTGCTTGTTCTTGCCTTCCCCACTTTGGTCATTGCCCGCTCTCGCCGTCTCCTATCCTTGCACTGTCCGCCTTTGTCTGTTCCTGCCCTGGCATTGCCTACTTCTTCCTCCTCCGATCTTTGCACCGCCCGTTCCTGTCCGCTCCTGCCGTGGCCTCGCCATTGGAAACTTTTACCACTGTCTACTCCTTCCCTGTTTGCCCGCTTCTGCCCGCAGTGACGCGGACACTGTCCGCCTATGTCCAGCCCGGTCACTCCTGCCCCCCCCCCCTGATCTCACCCAGTTCTGCCCGCAGTGACGCGGACACTGTCCGCCTATGTCCAGCCCGGTCACTCCTGCCCCCCCCCCCCCTGATCTCACCCAGTTCTGCCCGCAGTGACGCGGACACTGTCCGCCTATGTCCAGCCCGGTCACTCCTGCCCCCCCCCCCCTGCTCTCACCCAGTTCTGCCCGCAGTGACGCGGACACTGTCCGCCTATGTCCAGCCCGGTCACTCCTGCCCCCCCCCCCTCTCACCCCCCCCCCACCACACACCCCCCCACCCCCCCCCCCCCTGCTCTCACCACTAGTTCGCACATTACCCGCCCGCTCTCGCACGGCCCATTCCTGCTCGCCCCAGTTAGGACACGGCCCGCCCCACCGGTCCCCATCCGCTCCCGCCGGGCCGACCACTTCCGCCCCACTGCTGCGCTGGTGCCGCCCATGGCCGGCCGCAGCCGCAGCCGTCAGCCGTCAGCCGTCAGCCGTTCGTCTGACGGCTGTTTACCTAACCGAGGGCAGAGCCGGGCCCGACGCGTCGGCCGTCCACAGACGGCCGTCTGCGGGGCCGAGACCCGTCCCATGGCGCGTCTGGCCTGACCCGCGGGGTATCTGCGAGACCAGGACCCGCCCTATGGCGCGTCTGGCCTGACCCGCGGGGTATCTGCGGGACCAGGACCCGTCCCATGGCGCGTCTGGCCTGACCTGCGGGGTATCTGCGGGACCAGGACCCGCCCCGTGGCGCGACTGACCTGACCCGCGGGGTATCTGGGGGACCAGTACCCACCTCGTGGCGCGTCTGATCTGACCCGCGGGGTATCTGGGGGACCAGTACCAACCTCGTGGCGCGACTGACCCGACCCGTGGGGTATCTGGGGGACCAGGACCCGCCTCGTGGAGCGACTGACCTGACCCGCGGGGCATCGGTCGTCTGCGTGGTTGTGACCCACCCTGTGGTGTGTCTGACCTGACCCACGGGACATGGACCGTCTGCGGGGCCGGGACCCGCCCCGTGGCGCGTCTGACCTGACCTGCAGGGTATGGGCTGTGTGATGTCGCGCCACAAGGCAACGGTGTGGTATGGAAGGACTGAGCCTTGAACCGTGCTCCGTTCCTGATGACCCGATATTGTTTTACCTGTGCGGAGCTCGCAGCGGCTCATTTCGCTATAGTGTATGGTCTACCTTAGTTGTCGCTCGCCGGTCGGTCGCCGAAAGCAAATGACGTGGCGTACTTCAACTCGTTCTATGTCGGACGGATCACTCGGACGTGTCAGGGTCAGCATGCCTAGCTTTTCGGGAAGGAAATAAAATGCTACGCCGCCGAGGCGGCACGCTCGCACCGGAACGTGCCGCACCGCAGCCACGCTTGGCGCGCCAAAACATTGCGTGCACAGCAACAAGCCTGCAGACTCGGCGTCAACAAGACGCGTCGTGTCCTACTCCAGCCCGTAGGCGGAACTTTCGGCTAAAGTAATATGTGTGCAGTGTTCGCATGCACTGTGCACGCTCATATGTACTTAGATGTAGTTATCTTATCGTGTGGAAGTCGTCTTTTGCCTAGAATAACATTATCAATACACACAGACGTATGCATAGATGGTTTTTCATATGTGTTATTGATCCTAGGCCACTGGACACGGTCATCCAGAGCCCTACAGCTAAAGGGACACCATCCAGCAAAGTACGGGTAGCTGAAGCTGCAACTCGGAGTGGGGACCTCAGGACGGGAGCGGCTCCAGCCATCCGTACTGACATGGTTGTTGGTTGACTTATGGCTTGTGGGTACGCCCCCTTCTTGCACCTTCAGATCTTTATACTGCGGCCTCCATTAAATCTTAAAACAGTGGGCTATGAGAATGCGCGGCGCCCATTCGCGCGCAGTATCTCAGAAAACATCAATTACTTTAAGGCCATCTCCGCGGCATGGAAAACATGCACAGCAGCATGCGTCATGATCCGTCCTAAATCCTCTGAAGAGATCTGCCGCGACGGGCGGCTTTTAAAACAAGTCTGGGGCTTCCACCTCACCGCAATTGCATGCACAGCACTGGGCTTTATAGGGTTACCGTCGCTTGGCGCGGCACAGCGGCTACGATACCCTCCTCGTATGTCTGCGGCGCCCTCCTCGGCTGTCCGCGGCGTAACAGGACGCGCTCTGTGACACCGGAGCCTTTCCGTCACGGCGGGGGGTCTGTGCCGCGGCGGGGCTGGTGTTCGCACGGTCAGCTAATGTGTCGCGGCGGCGTTTATCGTGCCGGCGCGCCCAGCGCCAAGCCTGTCGAGGTGCAAACCGCTTGAACTAGCCAGAGGGCGACAGTTCCCAGCGTCTCACAGCTGCTGCAAGCTGACGATGCCGGTGATGTGACGATGGCTGCTTCCGTCTATGGTAAGGCACGCCTGCTGAATATGCAGCTGCTTGCTCGCTCACTTTGATCCTGTCTTTTTTCTGTCAGTGGCCGACTGCTGGGCGCCATTTCGTGATGGATATTCAAGATTTAGCGTGCAATGCAGTACCAGAAGATTTTGCATGGTACATTAATATTATCCCACACACTCTCTGCGCTCCTGCGCTCGGATTCCACGGAGGTGGTCAGGTAGCTCGTGGTGGATCTCCGAGTGGAGTGGAGTAGCAAGTGGGTCGCCCGACCACCACGCTGTCCGTTTCTCCTCTATAACTCGTCTGGGCAGCCGGTCGGGCTTCACCAGCGATCGGAAATTCGCACAGCCCCGTCCGCTGCGATCCGGCGGCGCTCACACAGCGACGCTGCCGCCGTCGGCGACGATGACCCGCTGCGCCGCGCCCGTACCATGCGGCCTGACGTGGCCAGCTTCAGCAGGTTCCGGCGGCGGCCTCGCGGCGGGCCGCCGCGAGGCCGCCGCGGGCGCTGGCGCTTCCGTTTACTCGCCGGCGCGCGCGAACGGCGGGTGCTCCGCCGGACTCCGGCTGCGCGCCGACCGCCGTGATTGAGCGCCGTTCGCCACCGTCCGATTGAAGACGCTGCGGTCCGATCGCGGCGCGCCCCGACCGCCGCCCGCAGTCCGCCCGCTGCCCGTCCATTGTCCGCCGCCGCCGCTTCCGGCCACCGCTGGGGCGACGGCGCGGCGGCCGCCATGAGGACGGCACGGCGCGGTGGCCGGCGGGATTAGGACGGTAAAGTACTGCGGCCGGTGGTGTGTGAAGACAGTAACAGCGTAGCAGCCGGTCGGCCTGTGGGGACGATGTAGCGTCGCGGGAGGCGGGGTCAGGAGGACGGCACCGCCGCTGCCAGTGAGCGAAGAGGACAGTACGGCGTGGCGGTCGGTGGGACCCGAAGGACGGCTTAGAACCGCGGTGGATTGGCCTTTGAGGTCGGCTCAGCTCGGCGGCCAGCGGGGCCATGTGGAGGAGGAGGGCACGGCGCGGCGGCGGTGTTGGTCGCCGCCAGCTGCCGTGGAGACGCCGGCTGTCCTGGCGTGCGGTGGCCGAGGCAGCCTCGCGATTACCGAGCTATTTACGGCGCGGCCCTCTTCCCGCGTCCGTCGCCGGGCGCTGATGATGAATTTTCCGCTGGTATTTAGCGCCGCCGAGCCTGGCGCGGCATGCCGGCGCATTGTGATGACCTCCACATCCGGGCGGCGGCGGCCGGCGAAGCCCCGCGCCGCCCGACGAGCCGCGCTCGTGGGGGAGGGGGGAGGCTGCTACGCCACGTGAGCTGGCAGGCACCCTCTCTCTGCACGTGATTCCGAGGGCTTCGCCGCCCTGGATATGGGGTCAGCGGCCTGGGCTTCACGCGTAATGATCCGTGAAAGTAAGCGGATCTTGACTGGTCCAACGACTCGCCGGGCTGCTTCTTGTGGCGACACTTGCATCTTCTTTTTCTCCTGCTTGCCATCCGCATTTCTCTTTCTACGTGTCCTCTTTCCTACATGTCATCATTGTGCTTACCTGTGTATAGATTGCTTACTTCATCTGCGCTACATTGTAATATTTCCCATGTCACGATATTAGCATTACATCTTGTGATTTCTTCGCCCCCCCCCCCTCCCCTCCAATTTTTACGTTTTTTACACCTTGGTCCAGTCGGCTCTAGTCGCCCTTCCCCGCCCAGAAACTTGCGTGTCTTCTAAACTGCCGTTCGCCGTGCCCCCGGGCGCGTTTCCATACATTCCCGACCGGGCAATGACCTTGCCAAGGACGAACGCGCCCGAACTCATTAGCATGTGCGGTTTCATCAGCGGCCGGCCCGCGTCCTCCGCCGGTGATTC